CGAGAATGATATACAGAAATTGCCAAAATTTCAACGTTATGAATGATTTATCTTCCATGGTCAAGATGATCTTTCAATTTGAAGATCCAAGGAATGCAATGCAATTAAGTCTTTTAGCAGAAAAAAATCAGTCTTGAGAAACTAAATTTCCATAAATGCAATATGCTGATATATACCTACGTGAAAAGAAATTTATAGGAAAAATCAAAGGAACTTTTCATAACGTAATATTTTGGCCAAAAAAAGTCTAAAAAAATTATCCAATACTACCCAACTGGGATATCACACTTTATCTAAACAACTTTTCTTATCGTACGGTTACACTAAGTGTAAAACACTGTCAGTAAAAATGTAATTATATACATAAGAATTTCTTACCACTATTTAAATGCTATCACGTTTTATGTAAGTCTTGTAGCTCAACAAATTTGGCTGCTACAGCCCTATTTCATTTATCTTTGCCAAACAACAACATAATATGGAGTAACGGAAGATCAAAATTTTGAATTTCCTTCAATAGCTCAGGATCAGAATGAAATAATACTGGAAGATTGCTAAAATCTGTGCAATTTCGATTTTTACGATTCCAAAATTATTTTCTATGACAATGTTGTTTCTTGGCAAGTATTTTAAGTAGGCCTGTATACAAGATATCAAACCATTAACTTTTTCCAACACTTCCAGAAATCACTCCTCTAAATTAATCGTATACAAACAATCTAATATAAACAAACACATTTACAAAAAGATTTGGTTCTTTAGTACAATATTTATAGTTTTTTGACGGGACCTAAAGGGAAACCAATATTTACAATTTACATTTTCCCTAACATTAACATTTATATCAACAATAACGTTTTTATTCCAGAATATTTCGAATATGTCAAATCAACAAACTATATGATAATAATATAACTCCGGCGCTGAAAAACAAAACCTTATAGGTATCTCATTTGTTTGCAGTTTCAATAATATTGTATTGTATATATGGTAAAAATGAGCTCCAACACCTTGTATATTGGGATGAATCGCACAAAAAATCCTGAAATTAATATTTCAGGTTCGGTTCTATTTGTTTGTGATTGAAATAATAGAGAAAATAAATATGTGTGAGTTGGAAGTGAGCATAAAAAAAATATAGAAGGAAAATTTGATATTCTTAATGAAGATTTTATAGAGGTTCTCTAAACTTTTGTTTTGATAGATACCTACCTAACTAAACGTTTGCTGCAATAATAGGTAGGTAATTAATGACTCATGGATATCAAAGAATGTTTTGTTGATTTTTTCTGCATCAAACAAATCAAAATGAAAATGTAAAACCTACCAATGGCTTTCGCGATATGTTGTGATAAAAGAATATCAAAGTAATCTAAATAAACATTCGAAAATTAATATTCCAATAAGGATATGGTGAATTGCCAAATACATTTTGTTGGTTGAACTATAAGGTATTGGAAGAAAACGAATTATTTTTGGCGATTTTTGGCTATTCATCCCAACTGTCAACTATAAACCATGCGGTGTGTAGACCCTGTATAAAAAAGTTTAACTCTTATGAATTGTATATATAGAATATATGTATAAAAACGGTAGTTCATATAAGAATGGGTTCAAATACCATCACCACATTTGCGCTGTATGTATGTAAGTATAGGTATAAGTATATGTATAAATTATCTATTTCATGAAGACACTCAGTAGAATTAAAATGCGTACTGTCAACTCATTATAAAAATAGTTATTTCTATTGCGGAAAGAACAACTTTTAAAAATATTCTATTAAGGTTTGTTGAACACATCCCAAGTATGTTTTATATATTATTTATATTCATTTAACTATTGCTATTATCATTATGTTTATATTGTGGTAAAATATTATGGTCTGACGTTCGGATGTAATTTCTTATACAGCTTCTCAGAATACTGATGAGATGAATTCAAGTAGAGTACAATAATTTGAGAAACTTATTTTTTCATTCCCACAAGGAGTGTTGTCAAGATATGAAGTCTCTTATTGATTCAAAATATGTATAGTTATGTATTGAAAAACAACGAAGGAATGTATATGTCTACAATAATATTTTCTTCGATACATATCATGCTGTGGCAGTTGAATAATTCGGTTTGTTGATGGTTGGAAAACTTAGGTTGAAGAGAGACTATATAAGAAATTACACTGAACATTTTGTTGTATAAAATTAATATGAAGGCAAACAAACGATTTGATTATCCGTAAGTTCGTTGAGGCACATAATTATTTTTAAAGTTGTTCTTTTTTGTTCATTTGTATTTGTAGAAATCGTGGTATTCTTAGACCATATATCATTCGAGAAACCAGAAAATTAGAACCCGTCAAACAGTTCTATCTTTCTCTCTTGCAAATGTACATGTAAAGAGATCACATAATAGTAAAATCTAACTACAACAATAATATATTATACTCATTGAAGTACTTTTTTTGCTTAGAAGTATTGCCACTAAGTGAACAAGGGGACATAACTGTAAATCTCAAAATACTTTCACAATTTACATGTATTTAGAGTTAGGTTCTAACTGGGTAAATTTTGAACGAATCATATTGCAACAGCAAAAAGCCATTGGAATGATGAACTGATTTTGAATGAGGTGAACTCACCATACTGAATGAACTCTTGTCACCATATGATACCCACCATTTTACAAACATGGCATCAGCAGTACCTACCTCTACGCACAAACACTAACGTTATCAAGAAAAAAGACTATGAGTAACGGTATAGAAAAAAAACATTGGATGACTGAATAAATTAATGAATGAAAAATCAGTACAATGATTTCAGTACTTACGAATACAAGCAATCACTAATTATTAGCTCAATTGGCGTCTCAATAAAAATTAACGAAAATGTATAAATTGAATGAGAAATAATATATTGATTGATTGACTACATCCTCTTGATAACATATTCTAGCATAAGGATTTTTTACTATCTAGTATAGGGTATTGTTTTGTTTGAGCAAAAACTTCAGCTACTTTGTATCTGTGTAGAAACTCCTATCAAATCCCATCAACTGTTTTTCGATCAAACTTCTTGACCTACGGCCTACTTGACAGAAGGATTCTTTTCAATATCGCGGAATATAGGTCGCATTTTACCCGTTAGATGGCGAAATCTCAACCAAAATTCAAGATTGGTAGAATAACTGATGATAATTAAAATTCCCCAAAATTACAGTTCAAATTTAATCTCATTTGATTTGAGGTTATGTTATAAATGTTATATTATTATTTCTGGTGCAAGCAGTGTTTAAGCGCCGTTTTCTGTCATGAAAGAAATCTATAATAAAAAGTGCCGCTATCTTGCGGACAACTGAGAACTAATAATATGCCATTATTGCGGAATCTGCGGAAAAGTGTTTTGAGAGAAACAAAACACTGTGTGTGGTTACACCATATTCTATCCACCTTAATCGTCTTCGAGAAAGTAACTTTTTTTCTGTATACAGTGAGGACCAAAAGTCCGTCGCCCCCCTGTAACTTCTTTATTCTACATATTACAAAAAAATGTTAAATACATAAGTTGTAGGGTTTCATTCGATCTCTTTAATGGTTTAAGTTTCATTCATACAGAGTGTCTCTAAAAAGCACGGTGACTTAGAAGTTAATTTTTTTAAATGGGACACCCTGTATTTCATTGCATTTTCAGATTCTCTCTGAAGATCTGATTACATCGATGTATCACACTTGGGGTCTAGCGGAAATGATTACAGAGATATAGGGTGTGAAAAATCGACATTTTTCAACTTTAGGAATTTTTTTTGTCGAAACTATTCATCAAAACGGCTCACATGTCCCTATCTCAACTTTTGATCAACTATCTACTGACATTTAATTGAAACAAATACAGGGTGGTGCAGAATTCAGAATCTTGATCACCCGTTATATGTCCCAATTAAATATCAGTAGATAGTTAATCAAAAGTTGAGATAGGGACATGTGAGCCGTTTTGACCAATAATGAATAGTTTCGACAAAAAAAATTCCTAAAGTTGAAAAATGACGATTTTTCACACCCTATATCTCTGTAATCATTTCCGCTAGACCCCAAGTGTGATACATCGATGTAATCAGATCTTTAAAGAGAATCTGAAAATGCAATGAAATACAGGGTGTCCCATTTAAAAAAATTAACTTCTGAGTCACAGTGCTTTTTAGAGACACTCTGTATGAATGAAACTTAGACCATTAAAGAGATCGAATGAAACCCTACAACTTATGTATTTAAAAATTTTTTGTAATATGTAGAATAAAGAAGTTACAGGGGGGGCGACGGACTTTTGGTCCTCACTGTTAGAAAGAGCGACGTTTCATTTTTATTAAAATGCACTACCTACCCCCTCTTCTGTCAGTTATTATAGTCTAGCGATTCCAACCAAATTTGGACAGGTGTTTTGAAAATAGACGAATATGAAAACACACAGACCACCATAATTTCAATGAGGGCTTGCATTTTCACTCTCACCAGTTGTCAGTGTCAAAGTCAAAAATCCCGAAATTTTGCCGGAGAGCCCTAAAGACTATGGCCTGTTTTATAGAAGATATTCGAAAAGAATATGTAAAATATTTGCAAAAATAGAAAACCACAAGTTATCGAGCCAACTTAGGTTTTTTCACTCTCGATGTGGAACGTTACGACCATTTCTTACATTGACGGAGAAGATCATAGGACGATGCCAAATGACACGAAAATAAGAAAAAAATGTATCAGTTCTTCCAACCCAAACCTCACATTTCAGTTGGGCGTTTTGGTGGACAATAAATAATGTTATAGCACTCACTCATTGGATCTGATTCCTAATAACTAGCTGAGATGTCAAGATGAAAGTCAATCACACTGCATACAATTAATAATTGTAGAAATATCGGAAAATATTGAGCAACAATCATAATGTGACTCAGTATGTACGGTCAGTTCATCATTCAATGCTAACTTTCCTGCAGTATACCCCTATATACGTCGACAACCAAACATCTTGGATCTTACAGCACCATGTGATAATCACTCAGCAGAAAATATCTTTGAGATATCTCATAGGAAAAAAAATCACCAACAACAAATACAACTCAATCGAAGGAAACCAGTTTACAAAACAACCAGATTAGGCTGAGTCATAACGCCGGCAAAGGGTCACCCGATGCAAGGACCTAGTTGCCAGCTGGCCGTTAGTCACTGGGCCGGCAGAGCATTGGGCGGCTTGAAATCCGGCGTGGGCGGCTGAAACTGCCCCACGCTAGTGGGCGGGTTAAAACTGGGCGCGTAGCACTGCGGGAAGTACAACTCGGGCTTCACCATAGTAGTGGGGGTCAATCCTCTTGGCAGCATGCCGTTGCTCGGTAACTTCCCATCGGAACCGGTCGAGTCTCTTCGGGTTTTTGCTGCGTGTGGGTTCATGTGGTTGTCGATGTGCTTCTTGACCTCGGGCTCGGTGGCGAATCTTCTTCTGCAGTTGGGCATGGGGCAGCAGAACGGCCTGTCTCCCTGATGGGTCCTGGTGTGCTGGTCGAGGATCGCCTTTTGCCGGAAGTCTTTCCCGCATTGCCCGCACTTGTAAGGCTTCTCGCCGGTGTGTATCCTCAGGTGCTGGTTGAGGATAGTCCGCTGCCTGAAGTTCCTGTGTGATTTTCAGAAATAATTGGTGAGCCATCTGAGGCGATCCATCTTACAGTGGAGTGAAGGCAATAGGACAGGACGAAATTCATATAGTCTACTCCACCAAAACTATACTTTATTGTAAACAAACTTACGGGGACATTATCAGCGTTTTTGTTACATAAGAGCACTAGTCTGGAGGAAAAAAGTTATGTTCACATATTTGACAAAATTGTTGAAAAATGTTTTAAAAAACTAATACATGATGATAAAGCTAAATGGGGGCCGCAATTATTGCGGAACCCCTTTGTTAGGGAACTTTGTAGATAAATACATTTAAATGTTAACGTGCCTCGTGAATTTTCAGAAAAATCATCTACTCCCCCAGTAGCGAATTTATTCCAGTTCAAGTCTCCACCTTGTATAAATCATACTCATAATGCATGACCCAATTTAGCAGTATAGCCAACGCGCGTAACGAATATGGAATCTACTTCCCACAATAGCTTCCCAAAGTTGAGACATCTCGCAAGAAATTATGATTTTGAAAAAATTCCAACAAGTGCTCACTAAGAACTCAGAATAACCTCAAAGTGCGAAGTGACAAGTTAACTAGGTATGGCCTCAATAAAATGTTATGTTTTTGTAACTACAGACTAGAATCGACAGTGTTTTGAGTTTCAACATGACTTTTTTGAATGTAAATGATTTGGAAGGTGTCAAAATAATGATTAGTCAATCTCGTGTCGAAATATATATTAAGTTTTTGGATATATTCAATAAGAAAGTGTTCCTTCATTGCATGTTGAGTAATTTTAGAAAGATATTATATTAGTTTGCAGTTGTATACTCAATTTTGTTAATATCGTAATAACTATATTAATAACATGTTGAGTTCAAAACAAAATATCTTATTCGACTCGGCATGAATAGTTTATAATAAAAAATAGAACAATTTTTATAAAATAATGATACACCGATGTATGTCAATACATGACAGAATTTGGAATATGAATTACTTAAAGATGAACGTGGCCTAGTGAGAAATGCGCATTAATTGTTCTCGTTGATATTAAGGGTTTTGTCCTCAGAAATTTTTGGCAGTGGCGGTGTTGTATGAGGTCTTGATTTTGTTGGTGAAAATCGTGTATATAATATTGAATATATCAAATACGATACGTGAAGGTTGATTTGTTGATGAACATATACACATTTGTAGAAATCCAGATTTATACCCACCCTTCGCGATTCCATTCATTCAACCTTGTTTGGCGTTTATTCTTGTTGGTGTATACTTTTAAATGATTCAAATTGACTGGTTAACTTATTGTTGACCCGGTTTGTATGGTTAACTTCGAGGAAAAATGGCTTGGTTGGTTGGTTCAAAACGTGTTCAAGATTAGAATTGACCAATAGTAGATCTGCATTTCCTATTTTTCATTCCGTATTCTTTATTCCTCCACATTGTGTCATTACTTTTATTTAGCCTGAGGGTGAATCAACATACCTGCCGCAGTACACGCAACCGTACGGCTTCTCGTTGGTGTGTATCCTCAGGTGCTGCGTCAGATGGCTCTGCTGCCGGAACCGTTTGCCGCACTCGGGGCAAGGGTACGGCCTGGACTCGATGTGGATGCAGCCGTGCTGCAGCAGCGTGGACTTCTGCTTGAACTCCTTCTGGCAGATGGGACAGCGGACGTAGAGCGGCATGCCTGCCGACCTGCCGTGTTGGATGACGTCCGGCAGACCCTTGCCTGTGACACAGTTAACCCTTTGAAGCACGACATAGGAAAAACTCCGAGAAAGGTCAATTTTGTGCTCAATTTTACCCAAGAAAATGATTAGAATATTTTTCGATATTTGCCATCTAGATATTTTTCTTCATGGGGGTGTGTGTGGTTATGCATTTATCAACATATTTTTTTTATGTTCTGGTTCCCATGAAAAGGGAGATCCTGTAATGTTCAGAGAACATCCTGAGAACCAAGATAAATAAGTTAGGAATTGGTGTTCTTCTTGTATTTCTGGAGGTTTTATGCCTCGGGGAACACCTCCCTTGGCAATGTGTTCCAGAGCCTCGCTGTTCGTTGAATGAACGAGTCTTTGGAAAGAGATGTTTTGCAGGTCTCTAGAGTGACCACGAAGGGGTGCGAAGCCTCTACTTGATGATTAAATCTCGCGGGGACTGCCAAGGCAGGAACAATTGTTGATATTTCAGAAGAGCATCGTCCATGAAAATATCTTTAAAATAGAGCCAGATCGCCAACTTTTCTACGGTGTTCCAGAGAAGTGAGTGAGTTTGTGAGCGAGTCATCACCCACGAGACGAATTGCCCTTTTTTGGACAGAATCTAACAGTTTCAGGGTATGTTTGGGTGCTGCATGAGAACAGTATTCCAGGACAGGTAGGATCTGTGCCTCATAGGCAGCTGACTGGAAGTGAAATAGCTCCTGGCCCGAAACAGAACCAAATTTTTGGGATGCACTTTTAGCAATTGATCCAACGTGATCTTCCCAAGAAAGATTATTGTTGATAGTAATACCAAGCATCGAAATGGATGTCTTCAAAGGTATGGTTACTCCTGACAAGCTTATGTTGGGCACAGTGAGATCGGCTTTTCTAGAGAAGAGGCGTGTTCTGTTTGCATTGAAATATAACAAGTTATTGGATCCCCATTCGAGATGCCAAGTCCATATTTATGTTGTCAACATTTCTCCCTCGTTCGTTTCTGATTTGCCTGCCTGGTATTGGAGCCCTGAAAGAGAAGGCGGTATGGAGGGTACTATCATCCGCGAAGCTGTGTACTGGACATGAGGTTGCTTCCAACAAATCGTCGATATGGTTCCCACGATGTTCTCTGAACATTACAGGATATCCCTTTTCGTGGGAACCAGAACATAAAATAAAGAAGGGATGTCGCACTCACCTGGCTGCTGCTGCTGCTTGAGGTACTGCAGAGCGCCGAATTGGGTGGCAGCGCCGAATACCGCGTGGTTCATGCCTTTGGGGTCCTTGAAGTAGGCGGGGTATTGCAGGTTGCCTGCCAGGCCGTTGGGCGAGAAGCAGGCGGCTCTGTCGGCGTCGTTGTCGCCGTAGGTCGATTGGACCTCCTCTTTGCCCTCGTCCGGCGGGAAAGGGACGTCCTGAGGCCAGAGGGTCGGGTTGATGCCGTTCTTGAAGACCAGATGCGGACTGACGTCTGTAACGATAAGGGAGATGACGTGTTGTACAGGGTGACCGGAATTCGAACCTCATCAATGGGATCTCGTAAACCGTAAGAGATACAGGGTCGCTTGAATTATGATTTTATTCTTATTTTCCAATGAATATTTGAATAGATGTAGTGAAACAAATCACACATCCTCATTGCTACTTTTTCTGTTGTACAAGATGGTTCTATCAGCTTTTCTAATATACGTTTCGTCTTTGATCTGCCATCATCAACTTTGGTTTTGTAAGGTCCTAGATGTTTACTATGGATTTCAAGAGCTTTTGATCTCCCAAAACCAACGGTGTATCGCACTTATTCGAAAACATCATATCAATGACATTTTCTATGAGAACCAATGTGTTAGAGAGAGACAGAGAATGAAAACAAACACATTCTTCGAATGAGTGCTATATACACCGTTGATTCTAAGAGATTGCTCTTAAAATTCATAATGAAAAATACAGGGCCGTATTTCTAAAAAAAAAACAAAATTGTTGATAGCAGCTCAAAGAAGAAAAGTCGGTTTGAAAATCTAATAACACCATCTTGTAGAACAGAAAAAGTGGCAAATGATATTGTGTTATTTGTTTTGTTACATCTATTCAAATAGTGTCGTAAAAAATGGAAATGAATTGGCGAATATTCGGTTTTTTTCCAAAAATTTTTGGAAGTGTTTGTAATTCTTCAAATTTCAAAAAAGCATTTTGTTGGGCATGAAATTGCGCAACTTTGCCATGATTTAACCAATCCTGTATCTCTTAAGGTTTATGTGTTTACTGGGAGGTGATTCATGATGACTGAATTGAAGCTGGAAAATGATGTATATCGACATAGGTAATTCATTCATTCAGAATCAAACGTTATATACAGTAGTACATGCATGAAACACCCTATCTGAGAAAAAAAGTCTATGAGATCTAAATAGTGATAGTGAAAGAGAGTGGGACGGCAGCAGACCAACTCTAACCGCCCGTCTGGCTGCACAACAAGAATATAGCGACTGCCAGTGACGTAGTTACCGTCAAGAGGGGTCCGAAAATCTAAAATTCAATTTTTGCACAGAAGACCGATGACTCTCGGAAACCTTCGGTTTTGACATATTTATCGTCAAGTCTTATATTATCATATTGTAGCTACATTACTGAAACTGTGGAGTACAAAGTAGGTACTCGACTCAAGACACTATATGACCAGACATTCCACAGGAGATCATCAGGTATTCTTCTGATCAGAATAGAATTATGTCCATTCAACTGTAGTGTCATTTCCAGTTATGAAAGTTATTATTTTGATCCACTGAACATATATAAGTTGTTTTGGAATCAAAAAATGCAATATAAGGCCAACGTAAAACTTGGCTTGAACTTTTTCTCCACTACCCACTGTCTCTAGTGGTGAGTCAAAATTAACGTCAATGATACTCAATATATATTCATTTTTCAATTTATCATACTTGGTTCTCATGTAACCAGCCCAAATGCCACAGTGGTTCAGATTCCACTCATACGGAACCACTGTAATCCTCTATTCCTTATCATTGGTGGATGTAACCAACAACAAATAACATTCAAAGCAGGCATGGATTATCAAATAACAACGAGATCAAAATGAAATATAATTTGCGCTGATTGACTGTATTTTAAAGTAGTTTTTATAATTCCAAAAGTTATAGATCTTATAAATGATGAATTAATCGAGTTACGAAATATACCAGCAAGAGCAGAACAGCACTGTTTCGAGTGTTTCGTTGCTGTTTTATTAATCTTCAATGTTTACCTTTGTATTAAGGAAAACGATATATCAATGATGTTTTGTTGTTTTCCGTTGGCATTCATTGTGATTTCTATTGTTCCATACTGTTTTTCTTGTTTTCGTTGTTATTCTCCTGGTATTCGAATCTATCGTTCATTATAATAGTTCTTTGTCATAAAAAAACAAGAAAACAACCACAAATGATGCTCTGTTGTTGTTTTTTATTATTTTGTTTTGTTGTTTTATTTGTCATTGTTGTCGATCGGGAAGACACAAGGTCACAATGGAAACATATCCGCATAGTCAGACTACTCAAGCAAAGCAATAAAAAGCAACTTTGTAGTCGTTCTCAAAACCTTTTTGGTCACTTGTTGTTTCGTTCCTCATCATTTAACTTTATTTTTCAAGTATTGTCAATAATTTCATCTCCAAACATGTGATATTCTCTCGTCCCCATGAGACTGATGATGGGCATATAAATGCCCAAAACATGTTTCTCGAACCCATAATTTGGAAAAATATACTGTGTGTTTTACTACTGGCTCACGACCCAAAAACTTTCAGAACAACGTTCACTTCGACCCCTCTCTCTAATCAGGCACCTACGCCCCTTGGCGCTAGAGTGGCCGCCACTTCCACCAAAAAACGAGGCTCGCCTTGGTGTGTGCGCACGTGCTGGTTGAGGATGGCCTTCTGCCGGAAGTGTTTGCCGCACTCGGCGCACTCGTACGGCTTCTCACCCGAATGGATGCGCAGGTGCTGGTTCAAGATGGCGCGCTGCCTGAAGGTGCGCTCGCAGTACACGCATGCGTACGGCTTCTCGTTGGCGTGGATGCGCAGGTGCTGCGTCAGGTGGCTCTGCTGCCGGAACCTCTTGCCGCACTCGGGACACCCATACGGCCGGCTGTCGGTGTGGATCCGCTCGTGCTGGAGCAGGGTGGATTTCTGCTTGAAGTCCTTGCCGCAGGTCAGACACTTGAACAACCTGGAACGAAAAGAAAAGATTTAGTTACTAGCGGAACCTGTGCCATAACAGTATATCATATTGGCTGGATCCTGAGCCGAGCTAACTCAGCTAACCCATCTTGCACATTCTAGAATATCATCAGACATCCTGGATGAACCTACAACATTATGGAAGATTCTAAAACATCATCAAATTCCTGGGAGAATCTCGCTAACAAGTAACATTTTGGAAACAGTTTTGTGAATTTCAGATGCGGAACTTGTCAGAAACTTGAATAACCTGAAACGGGACATGGAATTAGTAGATGATATATTCTCAAATCCAATATTCCACAACAAGGGTGAGCTGTTGATAAATCATGAGACAGTGAATCCATGGGAAGTGATCGAACTTTATGCCTACTACGGGCAAATTTCTAAGCATCCTCCAGGAGAAACTTCAAGCTGGAGAAAAGTGTCCAGATCAGTTTGGAGAAAAACTATTAAAGATCGTGTAGGCCCAGAACTCATCCATCGTACCAGTATATCACCTGACGAAGCTACTGTGTTAGCGAAACATGTCGTGTGTTTGAGAATTTTGTGGAAATCTTATCGTTTGTGAAGTTTTTACATTTGCATGGATTTCCATCAAGTAACGGCCGAGTCAATTCAAGGAAACATCCACAAGATTAGCAGCAATACTCTGTATCGAAAGAATCCAGGAAATTGGAATTGGACGTTGAATTGATTAACAATAGAAAATCGCATAGTACACATACACATTTTCTGTGAGAAGGCCATAGAGAAGCATCTCAATTTGCCGTTCATCTCAGTATTACCACAACAAATCAACTACAAGAACAAACTTCGTATACTAACAGGATTCCTAATAGGGCACAGACAACTGGAAAGACACCTTACGAGGTTAAAATTAGAGAAAGAAAATGATTGCAGGTTCTGTGGAGAACAGGACAAAACCTCCATTACGGAATGCGGCACTTCACAGAACTATTAGACGATAAAGCTTGAAGTACACATAATATGGAATATGGAATAGGAGGAGTACCATACCTAGAACCAAATCTTTTCACATCCTGAACACTGTGTAAATCGATGTTGTCATGTCGTATCTGTAGAGAATGCTTCAGAGCAGTGGTGAACTAGTTAGCTCATCACCTTCATGATTCATATCTCAATTCGCCGTTCATCCCGGTAGCGGCCTTCTTTAGCCCCACATGAAGATCCTGTATGTTGCTCGCATACTGGCTGGTCAGTATCACCCCAGAAACTAGGAAAAAAGAAGCTGAACAGAGATTAGTCTCGAAAATCTTAGAGGTCACACAAGCTGAGATATTACTGGGAGAGTATATCCACAAGAGACCAACTACAAGAAAGACATTCGTATACTAACTCGAGTGCTAATAGAGCACAGACAACTGGAAGAACACCTTTGGAAGTTAGGCTTAGGAGAAGAAAATGGTTGCAGAATCTGTGGAGAAGAGGAGAAACTTTCCATTACCATACCTATGGAATGTCTCACCGTACAAAACCTAGAAATCGATATTCACAAAACCTAGAGTTTCAGGATGATCCGACTATAAATTGATAGACAATAGAAATCGCGTCGTAGACATAAACATTTTCTGTGAGAAGGTCGTAGCGTATTGGTGAGTTGGTTAGTTCATCACCTTCATGATACCGCCCTTTTTCAACCCCACGTATTGATGAAACTTCAAGAAACTATGCCCACAAAATAGTAACTATAAGAACAAACAACGTATACTGACAGGAGTCCTAATAGGGCACAGACAACTGGAAAGGCCTCTTAGGAAGTTAGGCTTAGAAAAAGTAGAGAAGAGGAGGACACCTCCATTAGGATACTCATGAGATGTGTCACATCACAGAACCCTAGGACGAATGGAATCGTAGGATGAGTACAATATCTAGAACCAAATCTTCCCATATCCTAAACTCTGTCTATATCGAGCACTGCACTGGTGAATTGGTAAGTTCATCGCCTTCATGATTCATACATACCTCAATTCGCCGTTCATCCCGGTAGCGCCCTTCTTCAGCCCCACGTGCTGCTGCTGTATGACGTCAGGCAGAGCAGCAGCCCGCAGATCCTGCATATTGCTCGCGTACTGATCCAGTTGGCCGTTCACCTCCGGTCCGAGGCTGGTCAGCATCACGCCCGGCTGCTTGAGGTACTGCAGGGCGGAGAAGCTGCCCGCCCCCAGCATGTGAGGCGGCACGGGCGGGGGGGCCGCTGGAGGGGGCGCCCTGGCGTACTGCTGGTACACCTGGAAGAGAGGGAGAATGTCAGGATTTCGTGATAGATCCGGGAATAGGAGCACCTAGGAGACATTTGCCACAAGCTCGAACGACCCAGGAGCGCAAAATGTGTTATGACGATATCTCAGTTTGCTTGCGACGAAAATTCTCCCAATGATTTGGACTAAATCTGCTTGTTCTCACCACATTTGAATATTAGTTAACGTACAATTGCAGAAATGTACATATACATAGTATGGCTTCGTTAAATCCAGGTTCACGACACGAATTTCACTGTAAACCCTAAGAATTTCTGTGAATATTGAAATAGCAAATATAATTAAACGAACTAAATCACCGATGTTACTGTGTATAATTTTTTGGAACTATCGGTGATGATTTAGAAATAGAGATCGACCAAGAAAGAAAAATGTTAACTAACTTGAAAGCAATTCCGATATATACCTACTTAATGATATATTTTGCCTACTTGGAGGGTATATGAACAATATATCCTCAATAAATCTTTCAACCACTATTCTTTTTTCAAATTAAAATCATCATCAGCCTGTATGAAGAGTTCACAAGATGTCGGATAAGTGAAATGAGTCATTGAGGCATACGAGTATGACAAAGATGGATGATAAGTAGCGGTGTAAATTAAATGTATCCTGTAGTTTAGGATTATAAAGTACCGTTCAACTGTAAAAAGACAGTTTTTAGGGGTTGAATGAATGGTTGAATTCCATCGTTTAACTATATACTACAATGTCAAATCCAAAAGGTAACCTTCATGGAATAAAAAGAGCATTTCACGATAAAAACATTAACTTTTCACGTTCATCAGATATGACATTTCGTGGATAAAACGTTTTCATTAGCAGTTATGGGAGTTTTTTGAAATGAATGTATTGATGGAATTTTCCTGGTGTACCTTATAACAAATATAGGAGATTACTTTGAATGAAGAAGATATTCGAAATATAATCAATGAATATCAATTATCAATACATGAGTTTATTGAAGAACAACATTTTTTCAATGGCGCATTTTCAAAGTCCGCTACAGGCGGTAGAATCCTAGTTTTGGCTCTGTTTTCGAATATACTGATCTCAATCCTTAGCAGGTGTTCTCCTGATTGGGTTGGGTATTTGATGTGCACATGAGAATGGTTGAAAACTACATGAAAGCCGTGAACGGCATCAGAGGAAAATTAATACAAAGGTCTAATACAAGCGTCTAGGCACTAAATGAACCTTTTTCCTAAAAAGTATTTTTTTCGAAAAATTACTTCTACGGATCGCAGGAATTGAACTCGAGCGACCAACGTGGAAGTCAGATACACTTGGAATTCATTTTAACTATTTCTCTTATAACATGGACAATATCGAAAAGAACAATCATAATAAGGAAGGTGTATAAATAAAAGACCCTCCACGTAGTGCGGAGTTGGCTGGTGTTAGCCAAGAGGACGATTGTTCCATGATCAGAGCCCTAGCACATGATTCCCATCATCTGAAGCCATGCTCCTTTCAGTGAGCGATCTCCGAGGTGAACCCAGTAGGGTTAGTGAATACAAACATTAGCAAGAAGGAAATTAACGTTTGGCGAGTGAAAATAAAAACAAAGCCCTTTTTATTATGTTGTCTTTCACAGCGGACTCCACGCTGTCTACGTATATCCGTCAGCCACGCCCAGAATCAGCCTCTAGACCGTCAGATACCCAGTCCACTGACCTATCACCTACCACCTAACACAAATATCGTGTGTTGTGGGTGACGTCATGCACTTGACCTCGAGATTTCAAAGATTTGTCGGTAGCTATATCTAGACGCTTGTTTATATGCCCACCTGTTGTTGTTGCTGCTGCAGTTCGGTGGGGAAGCACTGGCTGGCCGGTCTCGGTTCTAGCTCGATGTTCTGCTCAGGCGGCATCTCGTCTTCCCTCGTTTCCGCCTGGGCAGCCGGATAGGGAGAAGGGGCAGGCGAGGGCAGACTCTGGTCCCTGGGCGGTGCAGAGTCGGCCTCCACGCCCAGCGACACCACGGTGGGACCCAACACCTGCAAAAGTTAATAATTTACCACCACTAGCTACAGATTCTACATGGTAGATGAAGAAATATCCATCGATATTACGAATACACTTCTCTATAATACATCACGAGGAGTATTTCGAAGAGTATTAGGATATAATTATGTCGGTTATGTTTCGATTTTGTACTGAGCAGTGCCGGATTTATACTCCCTTACGCCGGGGGCTAACTTTTACGATGCCGCCGCGCCACCGCCAAATATTCAATTTTCAATTGTCAGATTCAAAATTCAAATAATCCTTTCACTGCTTCTTTTACAGCATGTAACAATAACATGAAATCATAATGCAACGAATCAAATTATATTTACTTCACAAATTAAACATAACAACAAACAGCAAAGTTTTTTTTTCAGATGAATACAAAAATACTTTTCTCGATTATTTTGATGCAAAGTCGTCAACGGCATTATCAAAATTCAAATTTAATAACATGTCAGTGTTAATACTTGAAATTGATAGGATATTCAATATATCCTCCACCATGGAATTTCTAAGGTAGTTTTTCACTCTTTTTAAAATTGAGAATGACCTTTCAACACTGTTGCCAATATTCAATGAATAAGAAAATTGTTGTGATTATCCTTAAAACAACGCCTAGTCGTGTTCATATTTTGATCATCTATTTTTGAGATTCTAACTCTTCTTTTGCGCGTATTGAATATAAAAGAATATGAAACTTACCATCCCCGTCTTGAGATCATGAAGTTCCCGGAGACGGTTCTGTCGGTTCTGATTCTGTCTCAATTGAATTTAGAAAAAATGTATGTATTTTAGGGCATTTCTTGACAACTTCGTCGAACTGCTTTTGTTCATTGATCTTCTGCCATTTCCAAAATGCACCACCTTCTTTTTTACTCATTTTCTTAAATTTCAGTTTCAATATTTATTTATTATTATTAGTACCATTACCGAGACCATTACCAACAATACCAACGACAACCTATTGAATACTGAACTCTGATTTTGTATTTTGTTATTGAGTTAGACGAATCACGAAATTACCCCTACTCTACTGAGTAAAATGCGGTTTTTCTTCACATCATCGAATAAAAGTATGTACCGTCGCCGCTTTTGTATTGTAGCGTCCAAGACACAGCTGACGCTAGATTAGTGCATGTTATGATTTTCACAAAAACAGTATCTCAACCAGTCAACGACTGTATTGCTGCTTGCTTTTCCTCTTTTCTCTTTTCCTCTACCACCGGGGGCTGATAGTCCCATAGCCCCCCCAAAATCCAGTACTGGTACTGAGACCAACGCCATAATGCTAAATTTGCCAACCTCCTTGAATATCCGCCAACCAGTGGCGGATCTACGATTTCTGGGGCCCTAAGCTTGATAATTCTTGGGGCCCTTGTGGCCCCTACCCATCATTTTTTCTCCTCCTGTTATTTCTTCTCACCAATTTTCCCATCTAACATGCTCTGACCAAATAGAAGCGAAAAATGCATGATGAAAATATATAGGATATAAGGAACAAAAAAGAGTGCATTCATTGATATGGTTTAGGATATAATAACAAATAAAAAAAATCAGAGCCACATGAAATAAAATGAACGTAACTATAACACTGACTAGGATCAGATACGTTCAAAATAAAAGAACTAAACCGTAACGAAATTACTAGGAGAAACATACTACGATATCACTTCCAATTTTCTGATTCACGAATCTGCGAATACTTTCATTGCACCATCATAAATCGAACTGCTCATCAAATCACTTCCGATGGAAAGCATTCCCAAAGTTTATTATGTTCTCTTCGGAATAAGGTACACAATTTGATTTGATTATTGATAATTTTGAAAATAAACGCTCTCCATCCTCAACGAACTAACCTATCCCTGATTGCAATATTTTTGAGGAAGGAAAACCGAATGGAGTGTAAAAACACATTGATTAATAATATATTTCAAAAGTTGAGTTCTTCAACAAAATTGAATAAAATGAGACTGTTTATCCTAAACGCACTAACCTATTTGACTTCAAATATTTTATGAAAAAAGGAAAACCAGAATGAAGTAAAAAAACATTGGTGAAAAAAAAAAGTTGCAAAAAAGATTTCAAGTTCACAGCGATTCGAACCATGGACCTTCAGACTGAGAGTCACACATTAAAATTATTTATTCATCTTCAATTCTTTCACAATACAACACATATTATCACACACATTTCTATTTATGTTAGCACATCTATATGTGTGCCTGAATATCCCTCCGCTTGGCGCAGAGGTGGCTGGTGTTGGCCAGGGAATGTGAGTGGGTATGCGAGGTGTTCGTCACAGGTACCTATCTCCTAGGGCTAGGCCCTTTATATAGGTAATCTCGCTGAGGGTACCCAAGAGGGTGGGGGAGCTGTTCAGTCGCGATCAATGTGGGTGGGTTAGCTTGTTTTTGGAGGAAAAGTAAAAAAAAATCGGCAAAACCATAAAAAACCTCCTTCTTGTTCTGCTCGGGCAGCTGTACCACACTTTCGTGAGGCACATCTGCCCGAGTTCAGTGATCGGTAGTGATTTCTCACGCCCATGTCACTTTTTTATTTTCCTGCTTGAGAGATAGTCTTGTCTAGACCCCCCGGCGTCTCGGGTATTCCCGAGAATCCGGGAGGGATCCCAACTATAGATCACCAGGTTCTCTAAACACATCGGTTGATGCATATATCAGCCCGTGTTTCTTGCGTATGTTATGGTGTTGGCGTAGTGTGGTGATGTTCCGGGTAAGGTCACTTCCAGCGATGTGGTATTTGTAGAATTTGTTTGATATCTTAAGAATGAATTCGTTGATTCTTGGCAAATTACCACATCTTTCGTGGAGGTCTGCCACTCGAGAGTATCTATCACCATTGGTGATAATACGAAGTACTTTGTTCTGCAGCACCTGTAGCCTATTCATAAGAGTAGGTGAGACGCTGCAGAACACAGGACACGCGTACGTCATCACAGGCCTGATGACCTGCTTGTACACCAGGACCTTGTTCTCCTGCGAGAGTGCAGAGGTCCTGGATAACAAGGGGTACATCTTCTTTATGGCTGCTTGTGTTTTTTGTATCAGGTAGTTGATATTGGGCCTGAATGTCATACGAGTGTCCAGTTTAACCCCCAGGTATTTCACAGGGACCGTGTCCCTCACCTCGACACCTTTGACGGTCAAAGGTCTGTTCAGCTTCGATTCCTTGAATTTCTGATGGAAGTTGATGACTTCGGTTTTTGCGCTGTTTATACAGATCTTTGACTCGTCAAAGTATGGCACGATTCCCCTGTCCAGATGAATCTGGATTTGCTGTCTGGCAATATCCGAGTCGGCCGAGTGTGCATAGATCGCTGTGTCATCTGCGTACAGTGCAGTGCTCGTCCGCTCGAATACAGGGAAATCGTGTGTATATAGTGTGTATAATAGAGGTGAGAGGCAAGATCCCTGCGGAACACCTGCCTCGAGTGGAAAATCTCCCGATATACTTTCGTTGACCTTGACCCGGATTTTCCTGTTGGTAATATATGCATCGATAATTTTAATGATAAAAATCGGTACTCTTGCCTTGTGCAGCTTGGCCATTAAACCTTCGTGCCAGACGGTGTCAAAGGCCTTTTCTACGTCCATCATGACCAGAACGGTGTTTTTATCATTGTTGCTGGCCTCCTTTACCTCATGAACAATTCGGGCCACTTGGGACACAGTGCTGTGTCCCTTGCGGAACCCGAACTGCTCCTTTGGTATAAGATCCAGTTTATTGATCTCTCGAGATATTAGTCGTAAGAGGACTCTATCCACGATCTTGGCTACGGCACTAAGCAGAGATATGGGGCGGTAGCCATATGTGGATTTCAAGTTTTTGTCCTGTTTCGGGATGGGTACAACAAGCCCAGTTTTCAGGCATTCTGGGTAGTGCTGGCATCCTATGATAGCGTTGATGACGTAGTGTAATTGCACTACTGCTTTGCGTGACATGTTTTTTAGGAGAACCATGTCCAGACCATCAAGCCCTGGGGCTTTATTGATGTTCAGATATTTAATGATTTCGAAGATTTCTTTTGGGGATGTAATACTCTGCCCCAGGGCTTGTCTCGAGAGCGGGATGGTGGGCTGTGCTCTTATTCGTGCGGCTGTTGCCACCATGTCCTCCTGGACCTCACCCACTGGCTCTTTATTAATTTTGGATATTCTTTGGAAGTGCCTCCCAAGCATTACCGCCTTCTCCGGATCTGAGACCGCTTCCTCGCGACCATACTCTAGGGTTGGGATGGGGGTGAACTGTTTTTTCAATCTTTTGGTCATTTTCCAGAGAGTATTGTCGCGAGGGTCCAGACTCTCCAACTTGGCTCTCCAGCAGGAGTTCCTGTGCTCTCGAATTTCGCACTCTATCTGATTGCTGATCCTCCTGAAGGCGCCCCTGGCTTCCAGCGTTTTGAGCTGTTGCCAGCGGCGTCTCAGGAATCTCTTTTTTGTGATGAGCTCTAGGATCTCCTCCGGAGTCGACAGCGCTAACCAGTAGACCATTTGGGTGTATGAAATTACTTTTTTTTTTTTTTTATCGATTGACAACGAGAGAGCTTCAGTCGAATTCGTGTCAAAATCATAAAAAGTGTATTCCTGCGTTGGAGCACAGTATATTTTAGTGCGATGTGCTGACTCCGAGTATATCGGTAATGTTTGGAGATATGACGTATTATGGTGGGCGTGGTGTGTGCTAGCGTGCAGTATATTTAGGAAAATCGCAACCGGCCCACTGTCGCTATGAGATCGGCAGGATCGCTGCTTCTAGGTATATAAAATAAATACCTATTGCTCAAAAGAGAAATTCATTTCAATCATTATTTCATCTATACAAACGAATGATATGGGAAAATAGTCATGCAATGCCAGGACCCCTCGGGGCCCCTGCAAGGGTCGGGGCCCTAAGCTTGAGCATACTAAGCGTACCGGTAAATCCGCCACTGCCGCCAACCTATCTATATGTCGGACATATTAACAATTTGGATAAGCGTACCTGTTGCGGACTTCCCGCCCCGACAGCGACTGCAGTTTGCTGCTGCTGTTGCTGCTGTTGCTGCTGCTGCTGCTGCTGCTGCTGCTGCTGCGGGGGCGGATAGGCATCTTGGGGGCACCACTGCGGCTGCGCGCGGTCCATGCCATCTTTATAGAGGACATAAGGTGCAGCAGTATCTGAAATTGATAAAAATAATAATAAATATTTCGTTGAAAACATTCAGCTCAATTTTTATTTCGAGTTGTGGTCTTTCCACAAAACATGCTACATGTAGACATTGCATCTGTAAAATGTGGCCGTTAACGATCAATTCTAGCACCAACACTATTTCTACTCCATATCAACGATTTGTTGGAAGCAACTTCATGTCCAGTACACAGCTTCGCGGATGATAGTTCCCTCCATACCGCCTTCTCTTCCAGGGCTCCAATACCAGCCAGGCAAATCAGAAACGAACAAGGTAGACATGTTGACAACATAAATATGGCAACGATTCTCGAATGGGGATCCAATAACTTGGTAGATTTCAATGCAAACAACACAAACATGCCTTTTTTTCTAGATAAGCCAATCTCACTGTGCCCAACATAAGCTTGGCAGGAGTAACCATATCTTTGTAGACATCCATCCGCCTGGTGGGTGACGCCACACTCACTCACTCCTTGACATCATTGGAACACCGTAGAAAGGTCGGCGACCTTTCACTTTTCTATCGATACTTCCACGGGAAATGTTCTTCGGAAATCTCTGCAATCATCCCTTCACTAGCAATACCAATCAGACGAACTAGAAAAGCCCAGTCAGCACATCCTTTCGTCGTCAACCTCGAAAGATGTCGAACAGCACTTTATCAAGACTCCTTCATCCATAGAACGGCTAGGCTCTGGAATTCATTGCCTGTGGAAGTATTCCCAACAACATATAATCTCCAAAAATTCAAAAAAAATTCCAATACCTACCTCCTGTCCCTATCCTCCCTAGGAACGCACGATGTTCTTTGAACATTATAGGGATTCCCTTTCGTGCGCTCCAATCGATAAAAAAAAAAAAAAAAAATTTAGATGCTTAGTATTACTATCAGCAATAACCATTCTTGGGAAAATCACGTGAGCAATTGCTAAAAGTGCATCCCAAAAACTTGGTTTTCTGTTTCGGGCCAGGAGCTATTTCACTCCCAGTCAGCTACTTATGATCTATAAGGCACAGATCCGACCTGTCCTGGAATATTGTTTCCATATTTGGAGTGCAGCACCCAAACATACCCTGAAACTGTTGGATTC